GGGTTGACTTAAGAACAGAAGTAGTTAGTAAATAAATCTTCTGCCACGTGGCTGATTGGTTCACAATCATTCACCAATAAATAAAATAGTAATCGCAACTCGACCACCTTTTAAACCCTTTGTTTTGGTTCTTAGTATTGTATAAAGGTTTAGATCTTGTTTCCTCCAAGGCCATATTGTATCCCAATGGCAAGGTTTACACAGTTAAAGGTGCAAAAACAGCTATTGCCAGAAATAGACACCCTCTCATTTTCTTAAATTACTGATGACCGGCTGTGAAATGTTATCTTTGTTTTGAGTAAATGTTGGCATGGTAACCTTTCCAAAAATCACACAAATGGAGCTGATTTTTCCTGACGTTTATACTACACTGTTTATCATATCAAATCTTTGAAGCATTATTGATTTCCCAAGATTTATTATGAATTTAAAATGATAATCTTACTTGTGTAATGAAAACCCCTTTATTCAACATTTGGACCGGCCCTTGCTTACTAACATAAAACATCTGAATTTGTGGTAAGACTCCAAAATGCTGCCAGTTGTTTTTGCTTTGTTGCTTTGATGGAATGTAAATGAATGCACAGATTCTTTTCATTTTTGCAATTTCATTAAGGACCATCAATTCAAAAAATCTTTGCTTAAAATGAAAAGGCTGAGCTCCTCAATAGCCTAATAGGTAATTAATCCCTACCTCTCTGACCTGCTTACTCCCCAACCCACTATCCTTTGCCTCTGCTTGACTGGCTCCGGTCTCCTGCTCATCCCTCGTACCCTCCGCTTTCAGTCACTACACCCAAAAACTCTGGAACACTCTCCCTCAATCCCTCCACCTTGCCCCCTCTGTTCCCATCTTCAGGCCCTTGTATGAGGTTGGAGACCAAAGAGGAGGGAAGATTGAATGGTGGTAGTGTTTTCCCTTTCTCCCCAGTTCAGTATCAAGCTCTACATTTGTTCAGTGCCTCAAGACACTACCCATCGCAAAGGCCATTGTACATTTGCAAGTTGTTGTGGTCTAAACTTAAAACTTTTCAAGACAAAATTGGGGTCAAATTTGGTTTAACCAGGATTACACCATCTATTTCTGACAAAGAGGAGTGGAGCTCTTTCCCCTATTTTGCATCAAGTAACAGGATCCATCACCTACCTCCAAGTTGTATTCAGAACCAGTTGACCACAAAGCTAAGCTCATCATTTCAATGATGTACTTCAACTTTGAGGAACCCTTTTGTGCTGCATCAGTCTACCATTTCTACATGATCTTTACCAGCACTCCGATGTATCAAACATGCTCGAGTATACTAGAAACTCAAAATGATTTCTCCTTGACCTTTTACAACCATTCATGAGAGTTCCAGAGCAACCTTTCAACTTAGACCTGTGCCATCCAATTATTACCAGGAATGGATCTGACAAATGGCTGTTTAATTGGGTTCAATAAAGGTCCTTGGCTCTAAAGTGAACTTGAGCACATTTATGTGCTTTCTCGGCCAAAACATATGCCAAATCAGATTATATTAACTGATATTATGTTCTGTGGCATGTCAGCCAGAGTTGGAGAAAGAAGTTTTTATTAACCAGATTGCGATTGGTTTTCATCAAAGCTGGTTTAAATTTTATTTCACAGGAGGCATTTACTTCCAGGATAAATCTAAGTTTACAACCAGACTGAAGAAGCCCAAATTCGTCTCAGGCATTTCAGTTTTTCTAGTTTTGCCTTTTTTGCTACCAAGTCATTTTTTCCACAAGCTGTGTAAAATTGCAGCATTTAAATTTTGTGAGATCAACATTAAAGTTCTAAATGGCAAAAAAGAGTCCAAATTACTGCTACAAAAATAGCAGCAAAATGAAAACTGACATTCCAGTGATGTTTGTGGCTGTACGAGATGTATACAGTTTCAAAGCAAATCATTTGAACAACTGTGTCTACAGAGTGTAATTGGAGACTCTGCTGTATCCCAAGGTGCACTTTACCCAGTCTTCAAACCTATCCGTGGTCATCCATGCCATTGTACAACACAATAAGATGCTTATCGTGGCTGGTGATTTACTGATTAAATTTGACACTTTATTGTTGCCTTTGTTGTAAAGAGACTGCTCACTCCCTCTCATTACACTGATGAGGAAGACTGATGTTGTTTAGATAACCTTCACTCCCACTTAAATCATCTACTGCTACTGTCTTTTACTCAACAATGATATACACCGGCCTGTTGCATATTGCCTCAGAGAGTGCTTTATTCTTGTGTTTAAGAACAGGCAAACTGTTAATGATTTGACAACACTCCACAGAGAACATATTGGCACAAAGAACCCAAAGACATTTGATCAACATTTCCTTCTTCAGCTACCCAATGACTCAACAGATAAACCCTCTGCTTGTTGTTGGTGATGGTTCAAAGATACTGTAAAGAAAGGTTCTCTGGTCTGTCTGAATTAGGTAATGACTGCTTTGACAGTAGAACTTCCCCAGAGCATAGGCGAGAGAAGGGTCAAATCAGTCCAAAAGTTGTGCCTTGACATGAGTCAAGTACCTTGACTGTCTTCGAGGGGAGCACNAAAAAAATGGGGAAAGGCCACTAAATGATGGAACACTTGCTACCATGAGGCAGTTGAGTGCTCCATCTGAGAAATGCAGAAAAACTGGTCAGACTTGGAGATGCACACTTCTGTCAGCAGTAGTGTGCCCTGTGGCACTGGTTAAAATGTCTGGACATTACCAGCTTGTGTTGAAAGAGGAAATGCAGCCATAAGGAGCAACAATGGGGAACCCTATAGGGTCAGAAACCTCGAGTCTGAATTAACAGCTGCTGATTTCAAGTGGCTATTTTGTCAAAACCAACAAGGCTCTAATTGGATTAAAGATGCCTGAATAAGGTAGAACTATTGTAACTACAGATGCTGCTCTGGCAGTGCAGCGTAAGCAAGTGCCTCTTCAAAACAAGCATCAGAAATGCTATCTAAAATTGCTCTTTTTAATGTATGCTTGCGATGACTTTGATAGAAAGTGCATATTTTTGACAGAATCCCTACTTTCAACAACACTTCTCAAAGAGATGCTGCCAGATTCTATTTCTAAAATCTAACTTTGTGCTTGAAACCATGTATGGAGCCATTTCCATCTAGGCCAAATTTAATGGGAGGGACTACACTTTGTTTTATGCATGTGTGGTGCATTTTGACCAATGGTGGACTTTAGTTAGGGTTAAAAACTGGTCAGATAAGGAAAGTTGGATGAAATTCAGGAATGATTGGGGCCTCTGATTTAGAAGTAGAGAACATACGGACATGATTTTATGAACTTCCCAGTGTGGCTAACATGGGGAACAATACATATTTGGTTGTTCTCTCCATTTGCCAGATTTACTCTATAATGGACTCTTAAGAAAAGCCTGTGATTTCAGGGATCTTTTTGCTAAATAATTGAATAGGATTCAGGTGCAATCAGAGAAACACTTAAACTGGTGAAATAGAAATCCTGCCATTTGGCCGAAAACTGCAGGAGCTCAAAGAGAAACCATAATTAGTGTGCATTAGATTATTTTTCAGATATGGAAACATTTGCTCAATCCATTTCCTGTGTGGAAACTGTTCCTCAATGGTAGCAGAACCAAATTAATGGATAGCTATTGAAGAATCTAGAACATATTTTCTACAAACTATCTCCCTTTTCCGCTGTAGATACTGCAGTAAGAACATCTATAATGTCCTCCTAGTTTGATCAAAATATCAGTATGCTAGCCTAATATTCAGATGTGATTTGTAGGTACTAGAGTTTGTTTTGGGGTGGGGTAAAGGATGACTTATTGCTTCCTGTCAGTGGGAGGCCTATTGCAGTTTACACTCAATGTTAGATCCTGCAAGGTGTGCATTAAAAATACAGTATTATGAAATGTGGATATATTCTGCAGAATTTTCTGCCAAATCCCTATTTTTTTGGTGATTTGGTACAAGCATCTTGTTATAGGAAATGATACCCCTCCAATCTCCTGTTACTGCATCTACTCCACTATAATCCTGCTCTGTGCCAAAGCTGTCATGTTAGGCCTGAGGCACTTAAATGAAGACTGATTGGAAATCTATTTCAACGAATGGAGCTATTCATTTTAAAGAGAAGAGTGAGATGCATTGAAATTGCTTACAATTGTAAACCAAAACGAGTAAATCTCACTTCAAGCAAGTGCAAGTTGACAGGTTTGATATATTCAAATGGTTACCCTGTGCCAGTTGAACAACTGCATACTCAGTAATGGAATAATACAATATGCATTAGGTCTGAATGAATACAATCATTTCATATGACCAGAAGAGATGGTTGCCCTGCTGGGCAATATCAAATATGCGTGTTAAAATATTATTTTGGTTCCACATTAGTCAAAAAAAACTTTCTGACAAGAACTTTTTTTTGCCATCTTACTGCATCTACGTTTGAAGTATGTGAAAGAAGCTTTACACTTATTTCAACTCGTTTCTATCTTTGAAAGAGAGCATTACGCACCTGCAGTGTCTACTGTACTATAGTGTAACTCAAACACTTGAAAGTAAATTAACATTTTGTGTGTATTTAACAAAAAAGGTAGCAGGTGATCTCTGGATCTTTGGAAGTACATCAAATAAAATCTTTGAAGTTTCTATGATGGGGGTAAATTGTAAGTGTTTGGACAGCTGCATATCACAAGAAAAATAGAAAAGATCCGGAAAAGTTCATTCGTCTGTGAAGCAAATACCAAACAAATAATAATAATAATCCTTGCATTTAATATAGCGCCTTATCACATCTTTGAGACGTCTCAAAGAGCTTTGCAGAATATACTGTAGAGTGAATTGACTGTATATTTTATGGGCAGAATGATTAGCAATCCCATTTTAACGGATTCAATGGAACTGATGTCTTTCTGATGGAAAGTATCGTACTGTGAGATTGTCAAAATGGTTCACATTATAGAATCAAGATAGAATCTTCCTTGTTAATCACGAGGATTTCTTTTCTGTCTGTGCAGGTACAACAGGAACAGAAAGTACTGAATGCTCTTGTGGTAGAAATCACTTCACGTGCGCAGTGAGTGCATTTGGAGAATGTACCTGTATTCCAGCTCAGTGGCAGTGCGATGGGGACAATGACTGCGGAGACCATAGTGATGAAGATGGCTGCAGTAAGTAACAAACCATGCAGTGGAAACTGATAGCCAGGCCTCTGTGCACACCTTTCTCTTTTTATGATTCAATATTGTTTGACCTCCGAATTTAATAATTAAATGATTTTGTTGGATTAAATTGCTTTAGCTGTTGAGGGACAAAATACTTACAATAAAGGCAACTAACTGACTGACCTCATTGCAAAGCCTTTGCCAATATCGTTCTGCAACTGGCCATTCGGAGAGAGAACAGTCTGATTTATTCATTCATTCCCTCCATTCTTCTAAGGAAGTATCTGAACAACTATCCAAAGTCGGAGATTGGAGCAGTCCTTAGAACTTTTGTTCCATTTTGAATATTATATCATTAATATATTTTGTCTTCATCGTATAAAATGCCCATTTATTCATGTATGGCCATTAAAAATACAATTACCAATCACTGCTTTTGTGGGGAACTACTTTAGTAGATGATATTCTTTCCCCAAAGTCTAAAATGTTAATGGGAGCTGGCTGCATGTGTTTAAACAGACTGTTTTGCAGTATTTTATAATGAAAACCCATTAAACATTTTTTTAATAACGTAGAAGCGCTCTTTAAATTCAAGGTAGTTCTTAACATGGTAATAAATAATGAAAAATACAAGCTGACCTAATTCTTAGTCACATGTATAAATCCTGACAGTTGGTAGTCTCAGGCTTTCACCGGGAATTAAATTAAAATGAAGCTAATAATTTTATGAGCTTTAGAGGGTGTATCAACAGGACAATGAATTATTCATATTCCAGATTTTATGAATAGTACAGTGAAGATATCTTCATTTAATTAAGACAAGTAGTTTCCAAACCCATCAAGTCTGTTTCTTTTATTAAACACTAAAGAGTATGTCATTTAATAATCACTGGAATACCTGAGTGTGCTCCCTCTGCCTCTCCAGTGCTAATGGCAATGATGGCTCCATTGATAATACATTGCAAATAGAACAGAAATGAGGCAGTAAGAAAGATGCAGATTTCACATTGGATTTGGCCTTGGAGCGCCAAGAGATGGCTGTCGCACAGATCTGCCAACTAGATTGCCAATGAGATGTGCAGGTTCCCAGCTGGCTTCCTTTGTAAACTGCTTTGTCTATGACTGGGACGCAGCTCAGAAATGGAGTATTGGGGAATCTTCGAACGTATGTCTGTCTGTCTATCTGCTGAAGGAAGATGGGTTGAGTGGTTGTGTATATAAAACATAAACTTCACTTGAGAATTTATTATGCTGACTTAGTGTTTTGTGTGAATCTAAGGGTATAGATGTGGGTTAGTAGGTGATATTCAAAACCAAAGTAACAAACTTGAAAATACTCCTTAGAAGTAGTTTTTGCACAATTCCCTTCGCTTATGACTGACTATACGCTGCTGTTGTGGTGTTTCCCGCAACCATTGTCATCCAGCACCTCACTACCTCACTCACATGATCATGTGTTGAGCTGCACTATTAGCAAATTCGGCATAATCCAGAGATCAAACCTGAGACCTTCCTTCATAGCGAAATTTCACACCATGCTGTTTCTTTATCAAATGAGCTGTCATTGGAGCTAGATGCATTTTTACATAAAAGAACGAGCATAGATGAGGTCCCCTATGCACAGACTCGTTTTGGAGGATCTGTGCCTCTTGTTTTCTATCTACCTGTTAAAATAATAGGTGATAATTTGGGTCGATAAGATGTCTCATATTAATACAAATGGAGAATTGTCCCACACTCACAGAGCAAGTGTGTTGCTCTGACAAACAGAAGCAAACCTTATATTCCAGGGTTTCTCATAACAATTGGCTGTTTAATTTTTTTTGGAAGGGAGTGGGAGGTGGGAGAGACATCTGCTGTGTTTTAGAAATCCAGACACCAACATCCCTTACTTGATCTAAAGATGCAATTTCAGTTTTTTTTTTTCCTCTCTCTTTCTATTGTGAAGACAAAACATTTTTGCAGATAGCTGATCTGGAAAAGTCTCCAGGAGCAGTGAAATCAATCTGTTTTGAAATGCTTCGGGCAGGGTGGTGTACTCTGTCTGATTCTCTGTCTCTGAAGTAAATAAGTTGCGACTCCAACCTTGTACTTTTTACTCTGAAGCAAGTCATAAGTCTAAAATGCACATTTATTGGTTTGTTCTGACCCTCTGGTGAACATATTTATTCCCCAGCTCCAAAGGAAAGCAAACTTTTCTTGAAACGTTGATGAGAATGCCTTCAAAAGGTGTCAAAAATAATATATTGAAGTATAGTTCTTCTGGCACAGACTTTGCACGCAAACAAAAATAATAGAATTCTCATCGCTTCAGGCAAATATACTTGAACAACAGTAGTCTCACGTAGGGAAGCCATCTCAAAGTGCTTGACGGTGCTCACTGGGAGGAACAGAATCTTCAGTTGGATGGGGAAACAGTGGATGAGCAGGGCTGAGGATGATAGGCTTGCACACAATTACAGCCAGGGATGTTTTGTACAAGCCTGAAAGTGGCAAGTGCATGTGGTCACTCAGTGCTCCTGGTGTCGAACCCAGGATGTAGTCGCTATAGCTAGGATTAAACGAACACTCTCAAACAGAGTTAGCTCAGAAATATTGTTTATTTAATACTTGCAGCAAGGAGAGGGAAAGCGAGAGGCAATACAATAGCACGTCTCTCAGAAGAGTCGGTACTCTCCCTCTACCAATGGGGCAGTCCATTAGTTTATATACATGATTATTTGCGATCACCATGCTTAACTCGTGTCTCAAACAATTCTTGCTGTTGATTGGCAAGCAACATTCAATCATCAGAAGCTTGATTATACATTTGCAGACAGTACAAGGACACTGGTTCTGTTCTAATTATCTACACTGTTGCTCAAAAACATCTCGAATCTTATCATCGTCTTAGACACTCTGTACTTCACGTGATTTTTGTCCCTTTATAATGTAATATACATATGTTTAATTATATGGGTCAGCACAATTTAGCAGTTTGTACGATCTATATTTCCACACTGGGTCCTGTTCATGAAGCGTTGAGAGGTGCGAGCTTCTGTGTGAGGAGACTACCTCTTTGAATGGATTTCAAACGACAAGGTTATTATTGTTATTATTATTTTTTGGTTTTGGAGGGATTATTATTAGGTGTGTAGAGTAAGGAAACTTGCCCAAGGTTTCGCCCTGCCTGGAATTGAACTCAAGTCTCTCGCTTGCAAAGCGAGTGCTCTAACCACTGAGCTACAGGACTCCACAATTTTCGAAATGTGTGGAGTTTTGGAAAACTCTTGTATTCAGTCAATTTGATGCTTGCTGCAGACCTTGAAACGGACCTGACGATAAAACGAATTTCCGAATTTAAGATTGACATTAAGAAACGATTGCAATGTTTATGCTCAGTTTGTTTGTTTGCCTCTGGAGCAGACAAATGACAAGGCAGCCACGAGCAAGGCTTGGCCACCAGGCCCATTTCCATTCTAATACCCACTTTTGCTTTTGCAAGATAGGGAAAGTTTCAGAGGTAGGCTCGGTGGGCAAATATTTGCATGTTCAAGGACAACATAATTGCAGACAATTAGAGGGCGTCTTTCTATTCTTGATAAAGAGCTGTTTGTGGAATATCACTAAATGGGCATTGAGCTACACGTTGGATTGAGTCCTCGGGGAAGGGAACAACTCTGCTCTAAAATTGCATTTCCTTAGAAACACCCAAGCACCTTGTAATGCTGGCTTTAGGCTGTGTATGTGACATGAAGAAAGCTGTCACCCAAATGGAGTCACTAATAGCAGGGAGGTGCTCTTTTAACTATTACACAATTTACTTGAAGAAGCTAGTTTCCTTTTGGCTCTGGTTCTGCACATGCTGCGACCCGTGTGTTAATAGCTTTTGTATGTGATCATCTTGCATCTATACTTACGTCATCATATGTGGGCACAAAGGCATTCTGTTTCCCTTGCCAAAGTCTGGAATCAACTTTTGAAGCTTAGTAATGATGGGGAAGGTCAAAAGTTGTGTTTGAACTTCAGACAACTTGCGATCTTGGCTCATTTTCCAGCATTCATCACGTCATTTAGCTACAGGCCTGTTTCATTGTAGAGTCCAGTGTGGCTCTGGGCATGCCTGGGATGTGTACACTGCAAATGGAGTGTCAGCCTGTACTACAAGCTCAGGTCCTGACTTGGGACTTGAACCCACAAGCTTGTGACCCAAGATGTGAGAATCCTATGAACTGAGTCACGCTCTATATTTAGCTGTAGTAATATAGCATGGTGGGGGTGGGGGAGGGGGTATGCTTTGTCTGAACTTGATGTGTTATTATACTTATTTTCACATAGCTTCAAGAAGAAATTCACCATTACTGTAATTCATTCCATGCTTCATGCTCTAATAATGACAAGATCATTGGAGCATCCAGAGTTAGTGACTTTCACTGTTTGACATTAATTTAGATCTGTTACGTTGCTGGGCTCAGTAGCTTTTCTTAAGTCAATTTGCCCCATTGATCTCAGTCACTGTTGAAACAAAGTGCAGGGGTGATTTCCCTAACTCGTTGGTAATTTTGCACTGTGCAGAAAGTAACATTTTGGGCACAAAGTCTCATTCCATTTCATTCAATCTCATTCACACTGCCACCAGTTTTGACAGAGCAGAAAACCTGTCAATTATTGGGGAGGTAAATCCTATTCATATTGAATATGTTGCATTTTCTGAATAATTATCTGGCTGTGCAGACGGCGAGGCATGAGTCAGACTTAAAGAGTGCAGAATTAAATGGGATGCAAATCGGGATAAGCCACAGAAGAAGCTCACTATGCAACATTTATTTCTGTCTTGGTAGCCATATTCCTTAGTGGAAGAGCAGCTTAAGTGAGGGATTTGAGGGTGTCTGATTGCTACTCCCTTTTCAGTTAAGCAGAATGAGAAAGTTAAACATGTCAGTTTAGCAGATAACAGGCCACACATCCCAATCCATTGCGCTGATTTTCCATGTAAATATTAATCAAAGAGTGTAGGATACATTTTG